GAGGGGTAAAAAGTATAACTATTGCACTGTGTTGTACAGCTGAAACTAATTCTAAAAAATGTGTATTTCATAATAAAAAATAATTAAAAAAAAAAAAAGACTGGACATTATCATCAAGATTTTCTCAAAATCCATGATCAAGTCTGAACTGCTCATGAATGAATTCCTACCTAGCAGGGTTCATGATCTTCAAGAGCTAAATGCTGCATGGCATTAAGAAACGCCAGAGAGGGCCAGCCAAGTGGCGGGTTGGTTAAGAGTTGGCTTGGGAGCGCCAGCTCTGAGCAGCAGGGCCCGGTTCGGATCCCACATCAGGGCAAGTGATGCTGCGCCCTCTTAAAAAAAAAGAAACGCCCGAGAATCATTTCTTAAGGACGACCAACCCTAAGGCATAAGGGTAAGGGAAACGCATGTCGCTGCCTTTCAAACACAGTGCTCAGAGTCCCCAATGAGGACAATCTCTTCTCCATCAGGAGCGGCATGATCTCAGTTTGATCATGGTGGTGATAACTTCCGCGTAACCAAAGGCGCTGATCAGTTTCACACTATAAAACAGTTACATATTTCAGGATGACAAGGGTGAAGAGGGAGATGCAGAGCAAAGGGCCCACCTCTGGCCGTGGCCTGGCCCATGGGGCTGTCTGCCACCTGCAGGTTCTTCAGCAACTGCATAGACTTGCCAGCCATTATGATCTGCTTTAGGACAGGCCTGAGGAAGGACACCATGGTGTGCTGTCTGCTGGAGGGCCCCTGGTCACTGCCAGAACTCGCACTAGCATTGTCACTTGCTTTTTCTTCATTCTCTGTCTTCTCTGATACACTGTACAGCGTGTAAGTTGCATACCAAAAGTCTCTGTGATTTACTGGAACATTTTTGTTTCTATGGAGAGTCAGAAAAATTTTAAACTTCAGCTTTTCTCCCTTAAAAACAACGGCGTATCTATTCTAGATTAGGCATGTTATCCAGACATTCCAAAACACAGTAATATCAATTACTGGTAAAAACGAAGCAATTTCCACACAAAAGAGGGAAGATTTTATCTGGCTTCAGTATAACATAGAAAAGTGGATAAACACTCTGAATGGAATAGATAAAATTTAACTAAGTAGAAAGTTTCCTGAATTGGAACTAAAGAAAATATGACGAATCTGTTCTTCTTTAGAGGTAGAGTAACAGTTGACCCATTTTGCCATCTCCTGGGAAAGCAATCCCCAGACTCCCACATCTTTTCCCCAGATTCTTAACTGAGCTGCTTTTTAACAAAGAAATGAGAGTCACTCATCATCCTCTAAGAATAGTCAGAACCCCACTTTTACAAAATTCTCTTGCAAGACTGATGAAAGAGAACATGAGAGACATGAGATTCAGGAAGAGAAAGGCAGGCTCATTTATGAGCGCTGTGTAAACAGGGCTGCCTTTGCAGAGACCTGGTGACATGAAGTTATCCTTCCCACTGAGTCAGACAGCTGTCTATCAAATGCACACATCCAAACAGAGCCCACAGCTTCTAAGTGAACTGACAGCGAGAGCAGTTACACATTACAGTTCCTACAATTCCGCTTAGAAAAGTCAATTACCTGAAAGGGTAAAAAAGAGTAGCTAATTTGGAGAAATAAATATGGTGGCGGCATATTCTAGAATATTTTCCTATCTTTCATCGTACTGATTATTTGTAATGAGAATAACTGAAGCCATCTGTTATCACCTAGGTCTGTTTTTATGGGTAGCAGTGTGCCTTTGGCATACCAGCCCTCTATAAACACACTAGCGCTCAAAAATACAGTGTGCTAAGAAAAGATGGGAACAGACATAAAGCTAAGAATACTTTTGGGTTGGCACCTGACGTCTACTCTAGGAGTGCAGCAGAACCTGCCTGTGCTGACCACACAGCTGTGTCAGTGGCACTGACACCCTCAGAATCACGTGGAGCAAATGACTGCGTGTGACTTTACCGTGGAGAAGGGTGAGGTGGCGCCTGGCCCTCACCTCTGGATGATGAACTCCCTGGCGCGGTCGCAAAGGTGCCCGTGCGCGATCCACTCATCCACCGTCTGCAGGTAGGGCCGCACCGTCTCCACCCAGAGAGAGAAGAGCAGGGAGACCTGCGGGGACAGCACGCCCAGCCCTTAGAACACCCTCATCTCTGCATGAGATGAGACATGACAGTTCTGAAATGCCTCTTACAAAGTGATCCGTTTTCTGTTTTTTGAAACAAATTAAGAAATTAAAAATCTAAAACATGCTATAAACTCCTTATCAAAAACTCACTTAAACGTGATATGATCACATTGTCTGTGGCCCATACTAGGATCCTCTTGAGAGTGCGAGTTACCCAGGGACACTGGTTTGTTCTAAATGGGACAGACCAACCTGGGATACGGTTATCCTACCTAAATAGTGCAGTTAGTACAATGTCCATTAAGAACGCAGAAATGCTTCCCAGCAGGACAAACAGTGCCTAGCTGACAGAAGTTAACCTCCTTTATACTGACCAAAATGGTGGGAAAGCAAAGAGACACCAACAAACCAGGAAACATACCAGAAATATGTGCCCAAACAAACCTGCTGCTTTCCAGATTACAGACTCTGGTTAAATTTGTATTTTTTTTTTTAAGATTTGCATTTTTTTAAACTGTGGTAAAAAAATACATAAAATATATTATCAACATCTTTAAGTGTACAGTTTAATAGTGTTAAGCATATTCACCTTGTTGTGAAAACAGACCCCCAGGACTTTTTCACACTCAAAACTGCAACTCTGTATGCATTACACATCTCCCTTTTTCTCCTCGCCCCCCACCAGGACCTGGTACCACCACTCTACTTTCTTTCTATGAATGTGATTACTCTAGATGCTTCATATAATAGATTTGCATTTTTACTTAAGAAAGGATTAGTAGAAATATCTATATAAATTAGTTAGGTAGTTTTCACATCTTGCTTTTATGGTTTTGTGACCTTAGCAATTATAATTTAGATGCTGATTTAGAAACCTTGCATAACTATCTAGAATAGCATGATTTGAGCACTGTTTTGACCCAGAGCAAGACAGGCTATCCACCAATCCTCTGGCTGGGCAGAATGGGGTCACACATTTTAGACCAGACAAGGCCCCATGTACCGTTTGCTCAGACGCTTCTCCAACACTGTCATATTCAAGAATGGCCTTGTACAGTGTGTTAAGCAGGTGGGATGCCCGAACGACATTCCGAGTGTCAGGTGGAACTTCTGCTACTCCAGTGCTGAAGACTTTGTGCAGAACCTTGAGCTGAGCCAGTCGAGGTGACAGCCTGTCCACTACTATAGCAAGAGTTATCGTAGTGTCTGCAAAAAAATGAGAAATCACACTCATTAGCCAAGAAACATATCTGCATTCCAATGTGATAGAAATGTTCAGCCACATGGAAAGGCACAGCAAACTGGGGGATGGTGGGTTTTCATCTCCTATCACACAGGGTGAACTTTACTAAAGAAAACTCTCTAAAGGTAAAAAAGACAACTCAGCAGAAAAATAATATATAAAGGAACTGATAGTTCACGGAAAAGGAAATACATGTCTTTTTTTTTTAAGCTGAGCCATCCTGCCACCTGTTGGCAGCTTAGCTTAGGCCAGGAATCGAACTGGCAATCCTGTTGCTCAGAGTGCGCACTTTTTTTTTTTTTTTTTTTTAAATTGGGGAATTGCGGGGAGGGGAACAGCATTGGGGGATCAGGGAAGGGGAACAGACAGGTAGGCAAATTGCTGTTTTGTTCTTCAGTCTAGTTGTGGAGGGCATCGCTTCACTGGCCCATGTTGGTATGATCATTGTGCTCTTCCCGGGTGAGGCAATCGGTAGCCGGTCATTGGTCAGCCGCTCACAGTGGCTCCCGGTAGCTCACACCAGCTACCAGCCACTCATGCTGGCTGCCAGCCACTCACATAGCTCATGGCAGTCCACTGCAGCCCTGCTGCAGCCTATGCCAGTGACTCACAGCAGCCCAGCTCCAGGTTGAGCTGTTGTTCATCATCTTAGCTGTAGAGGGTGCAGCGTCACTGGCCCTCATGTGGGATCCGAACCGCAGCCCTGCTGCTCAGAGCTGGTGCTCCCAAGCGAGCTCTTAGCCAGCTGAGCCACTCAGCTGGCCCAGAGCTTGCACTCTTGAGCGAGCTCTTAACCAACTGAGCCACTCAGCCGGCCCTACACATCATTCTTAAACATACACACAGATAACTTGACTTCACCTGTGATGAAAGAATGCAAATTAAAACTACATGGGGAAAATAAAGAACAGACTACAGTGGGCTGCTGTTTCAGTGAGGGGAGGGAGAGGGTGACTGACTGCAGGGGGCGTCAAGAGCAAGTTCCTTCGTCGGGATGGCACAGCTCTAAATCCTGAACATGGAGGTGGTTGTATGAATCTACACAGGTGATAAAATGTCACAGAGCTATGCATGCAGATATTATTCCCCTTCCCACAAAGAGCAAATGCCTGCAAAACTGGTGAAACCCATCAGGTCTGCAGACTATGTGGTGTATTATGCCAACATCAATTTTCTAGTTTTGATAACATCCATAATTATGTAAGCTGTCTCCACTGGGGGAAGTTGGGTGATGGGGACATGGGGACCTCTTTGTACTATTTTTTGTAGTAGTTGCTAATAAAAGTGGAGGAGGAAGACACCTACACTGTTTTATCATATTGGTGGAGATCAAAAAGTCTGATAACACTGTTGGCAACAGGTATTCATACACCCTGCTGGCAAGAGAGTAAAATCATTTATCTGTACCTCCGTGGAGAACAATGGGGTGACATCTATCAAAGTCACATATGCTATCAAATCCCCTTGTACCTAGCACTTTCACTCTTAAGAATTCATGCTACAGGTAACTTGCTGCACACACATACAACTACTTCCATGGAAGTGGTTTTCACTGCAGCACTGATGCAAAGAGCCAAAGATCAGAAGCAACCTAAATGTCCACCAAAAGGGGACTGGTCTATGATACACCCATACAACACAACACTCAATTTGTACAAATAAAACGAGGAGGCTCTTTATATATTTGTAAGATAATAAACCTCAAAATATAAACTAAAGAACAATTTGAAGAGAGCCGATAATAGACTTCTAGGTAAGGAGATATAAATACGAGTTGATTGCATATGTCTAAATTATTTCTGGAAGGACGCACAAGAAACTGATGACTTGGCTGCCTCTGAGGAGGGGAACTGAGTACCTGCATGGAGAACTGAAGCAAGGGGAAAATTTTTACCGTAAATCCTTCTGTACTGTTTGGATTTTTAGAAATGAATGGCTTAAAATGTAAAAAAAAAAAAAATGTATTCATGAGAATTACTTGTTTGCCATGTAATTTTCAAATCTTATATCAATAACTTAAATGACATTCAAAAAATGACTTATGTGTCCTACAAGTAAAAGGGAAGAACATTTAAATACCGTTACTGATGATACACTTCTCAATTTCTGTAAGTTCCTCTTTGAAACTAATAAAGTATTTGTACAGGGCCCACATGAAAGCCTGGTATGTTCTGAAGGGAGCCTCGGTCAATGTGTGAAGGGCAGAACCATTTCCAGGTAACGTGTTCTCGCAGCTGTGCCCCGTGACTTCATCGATGAACTCCTGGAGTTGGAACACAACCTGGCCATAGGCAGCTACCTGCTCCAGCACTGACCGTAAACAGCTCTGCAACAGAAGCAAACTGAAATTGTTTAGTCAGCCTTCTGTGAACACTCACATTCGTACCCGCCCCCCGCCCCCACTGTAAAATACTTCTTTTGTGACTATTCTGAACACAGAGTCATAAAACAAACATTTAGTTTCAGAGTCAAGGGATAGTTAATAAGCATTACTTTCTACAGAATATGGAATTGTGGCTTATACTTTTTAAAAACACTTATCAAGTAAATATACTATAGGCAAAAAAATTACAGTATACAGCTTTCTCAATACAGAATGACGGGGAAAAAAAGCAGAAAACACAAATCAAAACCAAATATGGGGGTGGCCTGTTGGCTCAGTTGGTTAGAAAGCAGTGCTCATAACACCAAGGTTGCTGGTTCGATCCCTGCATGGGCCACTGAGCTGCGCCATCCACAACTAGATTGAAACTACTACTTGACTTGGAGCTGATGGGTCCTGGAAAAACACACTGTTCCCCAATAAAAAATTAAAAAAAAAAAAATGAACATCACAAACAATACTAAAGAATTCTCTAAGTACTGTATAGACACACAACTTAATTATGCCTTTTGTTTTGTCTAATACATTTAGTAGTTTTAATATTGCAAAATGTTCTAAAGTTATAGAACCATGGTTTACATAAATCCTATTAATTTTAATTATAATAAAAGCAAATAACTTACATGTGTCAAATGAGTTACTATAATATTGTTTCTCACTGTTACCTTCCCATCTATCAGCTGAAATATAAAGAGCTTTTTTACCCCTGAAAGTAACCTGAAACAAAATAAAAAAGATGAATGTACTTCAAGCATAGCAAAATACTCACTACAGTAACGACTAAGAAATTTTAATGAAAGACTTAGAATTGGGGGTGGGGTGGCGGGGCAAAGAGAACAGAAAACAGAACACATCAATCTTTTTATGTGATTCCTTTAAGACTCGAGATGTTTCAATATTATCTTAGAGAAGCTCCCAACAGTGTCTGTTGTCAAAGTATTTCTTCACATACAAGCCGGTCCAATCAGATATTCCCATTCTTAAGACCACCAGTATTTGCTTTCTGACAGAGGAGCAGAACCTGGGAGCTCAGGAGCAAGAGCACTCATGTTGCGGCTCTCACTTGGCATTTCTGTGTGAACACCATCTAATTTCTTAGATTCCTGGTTTCCAGGTAAGGAGTCCAGGTAACTTTCACTGGTTAACTCTACCCATTAATAGCAGTAAGCAGCAAATTAGGAACTTTGCTTTGAGCCCAGATATTACAAAAGTGATGGTTTAAGCTAATTAAATTATGTATTAAGTTACTCAAAATGGGAAAGAATATATCCAAATCTCACAATCTCCATGTCTGAATCTGAAGTTTGGGCTTCCTGTGTTCCCCAATCCAAGCATAGGTGCCTACTGGGATCTGTTTAGGGTTGATACCTAATGGCCTGTTTCTAGTTTGCATGTGAAAAACCCCTGAACACTTTTCTTTATAAAAACCAACATTCTGCTTCTCATTAATAAAGTCTTCTGGACTATTAATTGGGTTAATAGGTCTTACCATAGAGTTTCCCGAATAACCTGTGTCTCTGTAACAAAAACTCTGTCATCTGGAACATATAACGGGTCACTGCTGTACAGGTGTTGGTCCCTGTTAGATAGCAAATATCAAATATCAATGGGAAGGTTTCTCATTTAGTAAAATTACATGTCTCAAAGAATATATGTAATTTAGTGGTAACTTAACCAGTAATCAATAAGCAAATAAACATGACAGGCTGTAAATGCCCTCCCACAATCATTTTCATAAATCAACTGAAATACTCTCAGAGAAGCACTTTCAGAGCGATTCCAATTATTGCATCTATGGCTGGTTTAGGCAAAAGTTTAAAACTATGTACTGTGTTTGTTAAAATAGTAACTATTTTTGCAATAAGTGCACTGAAATGAAAATCAAATAAGTGGTCTTATAGTAATCCAGTCACTTTGAAAATCAAGATGTGTTATAATTAAATAATTTCATTTAAAAAATAACAATGAAATAAAAAATAACAATGAAATAATTAAAAACTGTGTTCGATTAAAATTGTGGAAAAAAGAAAAAACCAGTAAGTTTAAATTTCAGGGAAGTACTTGATTTAAATCACAAATCAAAATCAATTAACATCAAAGGGTATTTTTTGTTGTTTTTTCAAAAGACAGGCCAACAAAGCCTAAACTTTTAATCTCACCAGCCAGTCTGATGCTGCAATTTAAAATGTTCAGAGTCCACAAAAGCAGCACTCAGACTTTCTACATCCACAGAAAGGGGCCCAGCAGGAGGGTAAGGCTCCAGGCTGGTTTCAGGTAGGAAAAGTGGCAGACATGTCTCTGCAAGTCTATTTATTACACAGGCACCAGGTGAACTTCTCATTCAGCCAGAGAATGGACCTGTCTCAGTTTAACGGCAAGATGTGCAGAATTGGGGGGAGTGACCTCGCTCTTCCTCGAGGGAAGCTGGGCTGGATTTCTGTGGAGGCATCGCTCGTGGTAAAGGAGGATTAAGGTCTGCAAAAGAAATTAAGCTGCTCCTACCTCTGTGAGAGGTGTATTCACTGCATCCTAGAACCCAGGAATGCCCACATCCCACGCCTCATTCAGGCATGACACAGCTACACAGGAAGCATAAAACCCTCCGTGAACTTTTATTTGGGGGGGGGGGCATGGAGGTGGGAAAGATGTGAGATGGATTTTTTATTCCCTCCACCACCAGAAGCTATGTATCTACATACATAAACGTCCATCTTCAAGAATGTTTTCCTTCCCTGTGATGACAAAACTCAGGCTGAGAGACATGCCTGGAAGTGCACACATCTGATGTATCCACATGTGTGTTGTCTCACAAACTGAGAGGGCACAGCTAACAGGAGTGGCTACTTGTGCGCGATTTGCTTTTTGTCTTAAATCCAATCCACTCGACAACACTGCTAGGGCCAGGGGCTGGAAGAGGTTCTGTGGGCACGATGTGGTGGATGACCGGATGGTCCCCGCCCACTGTGTTAAGGAGTGCTGAGCGGGGACCGAGTAGCAGCTCTCACCAAGTCTATGTGGGCTCGGTTCCTACACACCTTGAAAAGGCCTAAGTCCAGCCCAGCAAGAGAGTGGTCTTTAGTGACAGAGGCCAGAAAGGGACACCGTGTTAGCAGTACAGCACCCCAGCTTGCACCCTTGGTCCACAAGGAACAGCCCCACTCTCATCACCAAAGATGAAGACCTCACTCTGCTCAGAATGCTAAGCAAGTGATAGGAAGGCAGCCAGGGACAGTGCAGCCCATCAGTGATGCTGGCTTGGGACAGGGTATCCCGCAGTATAATTCTACTGCCCTCAGTGCAGGAAAGAAACAGAGTCCTTGTAGGGAGAGGCAGCAACACAGGTGGCATGCCCAGAGTTAGCCTGGTATGAACTCAGTACCATCTGCTGAGAGAGGTCCCCAACCTTGACAGCTTGTGTGCCAGAGCTCAGGACACTGACTGCAGACACTGTGTCACCATGCTCATAGTTGCAGGCTTTGCTGACGAGTGTCTCATCCTTGTCCAGCTCTCACAATCCAACAGCACCTGAATTGGAAGCCACTACGATACCTCTTGTACCCCACCCCAGGGAGGTCAGTCACTCTGGCCTCCGTGTGGACTCCAGCAGAGCAGAAGCCTTCACTGGGGATGGCACGAGGGTCCCTGAAAAGCCACAGGGAGCCAGCCCAGTAGCGGTCACTCAGGCTGGAGGCCCTGAGCCAGATACCTCATCCGTCCAGTGCCATGCAGTTTCCAATGCCGCTCCGTACAGGTGGGAATATAGAGGAAGGTTGCACTCGCCAGCCGCCGAGGACATGAGAGGCAGGGTTTCCTTTTGCATCTTCAAGGTTCAATGCCAACATAGACCCAAACTGGATGCCCACCAGAGACTCCGGCAGTCCCCAGCCAAAGTTTCTTCTATTAATACAATAAATGAAAAGTTTAGCTTCTTACCAGACAGCAGCTAAATTGGAGTGCAAATGTAAACTGTGAGGAAACCTTGAGGACCGGGCTGTCCAGTACTGATGGACTACGTGCTGCTCCAGCCAGCTTCGGGCATCTGGCTCATCTACCAGAGGAAATTTAATGAAAAAAAGCTCTTTAAAATAACAGCTACTGACAACATTTATATACAGAATCATTAAATTATATATATATATAATTTACATTATAATTTTTAACTTATATTAAATTTTAAATTTTATTTAAAATCCTATATATAGAGCCATCCATACAAAATTTAATTAAGTGTCATTGGTTAGAAGGTAAAAAGAATATTACTCAATTTTAAAATGACCCCATGAAGAAAGACACAAACAGTATATGTATTTGAATAATAATAATGCTGAAATAATCTTTAATAATAATCACTAATCATGAAAGAAATTGAAATGATAACCAAAGATGGTCCCAAGCACCCTCAGGACCGGTACTAAACTTTTGAGGATTAGATATCTTATACAGCTTGTTCCAGAAAACAGAAAAAGGGAAAGCTGCCTAACACTTTATGAGACTAATATAACCTTGCTTCTAAAACAAGATAAAGACATGGTAAGAAAAGTAATTCATCGAAGAATAAAGATGAAAAATCCTAAATTTAAAAAAAGCAAACCCAAGTTCCAGTCAAGATGGCAGAGTAGATGAACGCTGTGCTGGCCATCTCCCGTGACCACATCAAAATTACAACTAAGTTATAGAACCACCACCCTTGAGAATCACCTGCAGTCTAGATGAACAGAATTCCTATAAGTATGAATATAAAGAAATAGCCATGCGGAGACTGGTAAGAGGACAGAGATGCAAAATGGGCTGGTCCCCCACACACAGGTGGTGGCTCAGAATCGGGAGGGGTATATACCGTTGCCTGCAGAGGTCCCCCAAGGAATGAGAGGTCCCAGCCCCACATCGGGCTCCCTAACCAGTGCCGGGGAGAAAAGTCCCCACAACCTCTCATTGTGAAAATTAGCAGGAATTTGGTACGGGTAAGACGGAGGGCGGCTGCAGACTCAGGGGTCCACTCAAAGGGCCAGTGCATAGACTCACTTGCTCATACACACTTGTCCTAAGCTCCAGCAAAAGGATAGCAGCTTGAAAGCTCAGGGACACACAGGGAGGAACTGAATTGTCTGGCTCTGAGGCAAGGGCTGGACCGAAGCTTTCTGTGAGGCAGATGTGCTGGCCAACGGTCCTTTCTGAGCCCTCCCCTACACAGCTGGCAGGCACAGGCGGGCACCAAGTATGAGTCCCCATAAAACTGGCTAACACCGCTCACCCCATCCAACTCATGCACCAGCCCAACCTTCCATCAACAGGTGTCCCTCACAAGTGGCTGGTCTCAGCCACACACTGTGGACTTTCCTAAAACCTCTCAAAGGTTCACAAACCCCAAACAAGCAGCATCTGGCCTTGTCACACCCCATACCTCATGCTAAGCAGCCCTAAGCCTGGCACTAGCGGCAGCTGACCTCAGTTCACAGTTTTGCCTCTCCCAAGTGCTTCCAAGCCCAGCACATGCAGCTTCCAACCGCAGATCACTCTGTAGCTCCTAGCAGGTGGCCCTGGGTCAGGCACAGGCAGCAGCTGACCTTGGCCTGCACCATACTCTTCCAAGAAGCCCCAGAGCCAATACAGCTGGTAGCCAGCTTCAGACACAACAGAGCACCACCCAACCAGCTCCACAAATGACACCCAAAGGCACTAGAGCCCCACTAAAGTGAACCCTGCTCCATAGGGTCAGCTCCTGCACTACAGCTCCTCCACTGGTGGGCCATGGTCACAGCCAGTCAGCCTGAGGGTCAATCCCTCCCATTGACGTGCCAACAGCAATCAAGGCTCAACTCCAACAGGAGGTCACACACAACGCACACAAAGGACACACCTGGAGCACCTGATTCAGGTGACCAGGGAGACTGTGCCACCGGGACCCACACAACGCCTACTGCATGAGTCCACTCTATTAAGAACAGAAGACATAGCAGCTGTACCTAATACATTAAACCAAACACAGGGAGATAGCCAAAATGAGGAAACAAAGAAACATGTCCCAACTGGAAAAACAGGACAAAGCTCCAGAAAAAAAACTAAATAAAATGGAGACAAGCAACCTACCAGGTACAGAGTTCAAAACACGGGTTATAAGGATGCTCAATGATCTCAGTGAGAACTTTAATAGAGAAATAGGAAACATAAAAATAGAGATAAAAAACATAAAAAAGAACCAGTCAGAAATGAAGAATAACTGAAATGAATACATTAGAGGGAATTAACAGATTAGATGAAGCAGAGGATCGAATCAGAAATTTGGAAGATAAACTAGCAGAAAACACCAAATTGGAACAGCAAAAAGAAACAAGAATCCAAAAACATGAGGACAATTTAAGGGGCCTTTGGGACAACAGCAAGTGTAACAACATATGCATCCAAATTGGAAGTCCTAGCCAGATTAATCAGATAAGAAGAAATAAAAGATTTTGTAGGGTGTCAGATGGGCATATGCCTTATTAGGGAGACCACTTCATGGATGGTGTAGATGGTGTAGATGTTTGACCACTGCACTGTACACCTGAAGCTGAATAATATTGTATGTCAACTATAATTTTATATATGTGTGTGTGTGTGTGTATATATATATATATATATGTAACATATATATATATGGAGAAAGAGAGAGAGAGAGAGAGAGACAGAGAGAGACAGAGAGAGACAGAGAGAGAGACAGAGAGAGTCACGGGATATGGAGTACAGCACAGGATAGGGAATAGAGTCCATGGAATTGTAATAGCTATATATGATGTCAGAGGGGAAATAGATTGGGGGAGGGGGGTTATCACTTTGTGAGGGGTGAAATGTCTAACTATTACATTGTTTTGTACACCTAAAACTAATAGGAAGGAAGGAAGGAAGGAAAAAAGGAAGGAAGGGCATCCAAACTGGAAAGGAAGAAGTAAAACTGTCATTATTTGCAGATGACATGATACTATATATAGAAAATCCTAAGGATTCCACCCAAAAGCTTTTAGAACTGATAAATGAATTCATTAAAGTAGCAGGATACAAAATTAATATTCAGAAATCAGTTGCATTTTTTTTTAAATTGGGGAACTAGGGGAGGGAAACAGTGATGGGGCATTGGGGAAGGGGACTAGCCAAGTTGTTGTTCTTCAATTTTCATTGTGGAGGGCATCAGTCGCCATGTGGCTGCCCGTTGGCAGCTCGTGGCCTCTAAGCTCAAGGTGCTGTGTTCTATCTTAGTTGTGGGTGGGCGTAGCCACCACCCCATGCAGGAGTCAAACTAGCAGCCTTGTTGTTAAGAGTGCACACTCTATCCACTGAGCCATCCGGGTGGCAGCTTAGCTCAAGGTGCCAAGTTCAGTCTTAGTTGTGGGTGGGCATATTCACCAACACATGCAGGAGTTGAACCGGCAGCGTTGTTGTTAAGAGCGCACACTCCATCCACTGAGCCATTCAGGTGGCAGCTCAGCTCAAGGTGCTAAGTTCAGTCTTAGTTGCAGGCAGGCATAGCCCACCATCGAACAGGCAGTCTTGTTGTTAGGAGCACATGCTCTCACCAGCTGAGCCATCTTGCCACCTGTTGGCAGCTCAGCGGCAGCTCAGCTCGGGCATCACTGGCCCATGTGGGAATCGAACCAACAGCCCTATTGCTCAGAGCTTGTGTTCTTAAGCTAACACTCAACCAACCGAATCACCCGGCCCGCCCTCAATTGCACTTTTATACATCAATAATGAACTATCAGAAACAGAAATTAAGAAAACAATCTCTCATGTAATTGCATCAAAATGAATAAAATCTTAGGAGTAAATTTAACCTAGGAGGTAAAAGACATGTACCCGGAAAACTATTAGATATTGAAGAAACTGAAAAAGACTCAAACAAATGGAAGCATGTGCTGTGCTCATGCACAGAAGACTGAAGAGGCGTACAGAGTGACAGGGACAGATTCAACACAGAGTTCAATGAAAGAGGAGCACAGCACAGCAGAGCTTATACATAACATCCCACCAGGATGTAATGTATAAAGAGCACACCAAGCCACACAGTATGAGAACACAGGTATCAACTCCATGAGAACAGTGCCTGGAGCTGGGCTGGGGAGATAGGAAAATGGAGGATCAAGGAGGAGAAGAAACCCACTAGACTAAAGGTCCTGCAGGAACTAGTGACAATCATATGTCCGAGCTGATAAATCCACACTCTCCCCTGAAGGTCCAAAGCAAGAATTAGAAAGTATGGTAAAAGAAAATCAGAAAATCATTAGAATGCAGAAATCAGCTTTAACTACTTTGTGTCCATTTGGCAAGGTTCAAGTACAGTGCACAGGGTCTGGTCACACACCCCTGCTTCTGGGATTAGTGTCATGGCTCTGTGGCCACGGGAAAACCATGGTCATCAGGTCTTTGTTTCCTTATCTACCAAATAAGAAGTTGGATTAGATGATCTAATCTCTACGTTTGCTTCCAGCTCTGTCTAGACTCTACCAATTCACAGTTCTTCAGTAAAAACTAAAAAAGCAGACATCCAAATTTAAAATTAAATGGTATAGGTCTTGGTATAGATTTTTTCCTCTTAGTTACTAATTTTAGTAAAGTCAATCCTCCAATAAAAATAAAGTAAAACATTTAGAACTAAGAAAAGTTCTTAGAACTGTAAGAAAAGAACAAAATTGCTCTCTAAATCCCTTTTAACATTAATTTTATAGCGCTATTCCTTAGGTACTATTAGCAACATCTTAAAGGGCATGGAACTGATTCGCAACACTTGCCTTCCCTTCTAGAGAACTTTTCAATTAGCAAAGGATGCCAGCATCCAAGAACACACAGTACCTTTCCAGAGGACACGAAGCCCTGGCTTTCTGTTTTGATCTTGTTCTTCTAACGGTGTCCTATCCACTTGAATCCCAGAGTCCTCTCTGCTCAAGGGCTGTTGATCATCCTCATTTTCACTGTCTTCAGACCAATTCTGATTAAAAAAGGCAATACAACTTACCCTTAGAGTGTATAACAGTTGAAGCTGTTTATATTTATATTTATGTCCATAATAAACTACTCTAGTTAACTGAAGAGTGTGCCTGTTTTAGTTATGATAAGTTGCTGCAGAGCAGAGGACCCATAAAAACCATCTATACAACTGGGCATTTGTTTTTATTTTCAATAGCAAAACTACTGCCACTGACCGGTGTGTCTACATCCGGACTAAGGTCAATTTCTTCACCTTCCATCAAGTATCTTCCCCAGTCAAAATCATCTTTCTTTTCTAAAATGTAACAGAAAAATCTCATCAGCTATATCAAAAACATGCGGGGGAAAAAAACCAAAACCAAAACTATAGGAAAAAAGTCCAACAAAACTCAAAATAAAAAGTGCTTGGGAAATAAAAGTTCAAAAACATTGAAAACACTCAATAAATTGATATTTTAATTTCTTTATCTTCAAAAGTCATTTTTCCCTTTATACAACTGAAAGTAGTTTAACTTACCAAGTCAGAATTTATATTTTAAATAAAAACCTGCAACTGCATCCAATGCAACAGAAATATTTTAGTTTCACAGATTTTTACAATGCTTTATAAAATTGCAATGTCTAGTAATTAAGTAATAAAACCAGTTTCTCTTTTATTTGCTATATATTAAAGCATCTGATAACATACCCACTTCTTTCTCTCTTGGTGTTTCCACATAATTGTTGTTTGAAGGAGAATCAGAAAGACACAGAAGAAGTGACAGTATGGAATAATGTGCATCTGTCTTTAAAACAAAAAATGAAGAGTATGAATCACCGAGATTGCTAAGAGCTTTTTAAACTAGTTTGAGTAAAGAAAAGATAATGCCATGACAGTTATGTCCCCCACTTTTTTCCTGGTTTGAGAAAACATGAATTATACCTAAATAAATCCTAATCTCTAAACTATTTTTATAGTTCAAATGTGTATACATCAGGAACTTGTCAAAAATGCATTCCCTGAATCATGATGAGGAATCCTTAGACAAACCTACATTGAGGGACAAGCTACCAAGTAATTGGTCTGGGCAATTCAAAATGCCAAGGTCAAGAAAAAGAAAGGCTAAGGAACTGTTCCAGGTTAAAGGACACTGATCACAGAATTTCTGCAAAGGGTACACAGGAGTTCCTTTTACTATTGTTCAACTTTTCTTTAAGTTTTTTTAAAATTTAAATTATATTTTTAAAATCACATTTAAAAAGTTAGCAAAAAATAAAAATACCCCAAATGTGCTCCAAGTCATAAACCCTGCATGGAAAAGAAAGGAGATAGGTTAAAATCAAGGAAGGGAAGGGAAGTCTCTGATGCCCACAGACCAGGTGAGCTCTCCCTATTATACATGTATATGTTCTATAGCATCTTATGCACATTTTCATAGTGTTTACCATAATTATAATGAAATAACTACCTGGTGATATCATGTTTCATTTATTTTGTATTCCTACAATTAGTATGATGCTAGGGACATAGCAGACACTTGGTAAATTTACCCGCTGCGTCTTTCCCTGTGCTCATTTTTTAATTTTTTTAAATTGGGGAACAGTGTGTTTTCCCAGGATCCTTAAGCTCCAAGTCAAGTTGTTGTTTCAATCTAGTTGTGGAGGGTGTGGCGATCGATCTGGCAACCTTAGTGTTATGAGCACTCGGCTCTAACCAACTGAGCTAAGCAGCCGCCCTTTCCTGTGCTCATTTTAAATCTGTACCTTTCACTATAAATGAACCATCCAGTGAGTAGAGCAGCTTTTTCAGTTTTGTTGAAATCTTCTAGCAAATCTTCGAGCCTAAGGGTGGTCTCAGGACACACAACTGAATATGAAAGTGCTTAGAACAGCACCTGGCATCTAGAAGCATGACATAGGTAGTTCTTATTACCTGGCTGCAAAGCCATTTAAAAGATTTCAGATCACCAGACAGTGTTATTATTTGTGCCAACCTCTGATCTTAATTTCCATTGTAGGTTGGGACTGAGAAGATGATTAAACAAGAGCTTGCTTTTTCTTTTAACTCAAGTCTGAGGAACACTGGGCAATGCTTAAGTCAGTTTCCTGGGGATTCTGCTCTAAATAGGGGACAATACTAAAAGAGGAGGAATATTTAAATATTAAAAGAAACAAGTTTGACAATAATCAGATTGGAAACGGTAATATACACAACAGAGATCTCACAATATAATGCATACCTTTACTTCCTTTGTGCTTGGAAGTGATGCATTTAGAAATTCCCCAGTCAATCTCTTCCAACTAGCAGCTTTGCTGAGATCAGAATGAATGATGAATTTTTCATAAATTCTAAAATATATCAAACAAATCAAATTATAGTTATAAAGTTGTATTAAGAAAACGATCTATAACAGTACAGACATTTCTGAATATGTACATATATACATACATATAAAACTGACTTACCCTTCTATTGTCTTTTCTACTTTGTGGCTGTTGACATCCAAGAAACGATGAAATCTAAAAAACAAAATGCAATTTTTACATCAATCTTGTCATAAAACTAAGTAGACAATTATCATTGCCCTCCATCCCCACCAGACACCCTCTGCTCAGCAGTGTCCCTCTGCCCCCACGACATCTCCCCCATCCAGGCAAACCACCACTGCACCAACACAGTGCTCAAGCACCCTTCCAGCAGGACACAGTTCATCCTGAGCTGCCCAATCCTGTCCTCTGGCTCCTCTATCTTCCCATACTGCCCTACGCCCAAGTCTATATCGGGGTTCCTAATCTTTTTATGCCATAGTGAAGTCCAGAGAAGCCTAGGGTTCCCTTCTCAGAACAATTTTTAAATAATAAAATGAAACACAAAGGAAACCAAATATACTGTAATACAGTTGTGAAGTATTTGTAAAAGTTTGTGACAGGGTAAGAAACATTTTTTTATTAAAGCATTAAGTAACAAGATCTAGCAGTGGGTCCATAAATACCATTAAAGCAGCAGTCAACAACATTGAGAAATACCTGCACTATGTACATGATGCAAAATATGTGATTTATTGGTGAGACACTCATAGGTAAGCTAATACCGCTTGTTACTTTCATTCATAATTGAAAGAAATGCTATTTTTTTGGTAGGAGTTAGTGTAACTTTTTTCTTGTCCTAATTCATAACACCTGAATTCTACCTTCAGGCCCTCATGTTAACAACTCCTAGTATCCATCACATAGAAAATAGAAAAACTGGGGCCGGCCGAGTGGGGCGATGGTTAAGAACTCGCTTGGGATGCCAGAGGGCCCCGGTTCGGATCCCACATATGAGGGCCAGTGACACTGCCCTCCACAGCTAAGATGCTGAACAACAGCTCAACCTGGAGCTGGGCTGCCGTGAGTCGCCGGCGACGGCGTGGGCTGCAGCCCCCTTGGCAGTGGGTTGCCATGGGCTACCGTGTGTAGCCAGCAGCCAGCGTGAGCGGCCAGCAGCCGCAGTGAGCGGCCAGCAGCCGCAGTGAGCGGCCGTCCAGAAGCCGGCGACTGATCTGCCTCACCCGGGAAGAGCGCAATGATGGTGCCAACTTGGGCCAGTGAAGCAACATCCTCCACAACTAGATTGAAGAACAAAAATGACAGCAACTTGTATGTTCCCCTTCGCCCAGTTCCCCAGCACTGTTCCCATCCCCCCAATTCCCCAATAAAAATCTTTAAAAAAAAAAGAAAATAGAAAAACTGTTTGGGAGGCAGCATTTAAATTTCTGCCTTCTATGATCTATTTGGATATTATTACACGTTTATTTGTGCTCTGGTCCAGAAAAAGGATTAAAGATGTTATCTTAGGTACAAAAAGACAACAAACAGGCCCACTGGAAAGGCACAGATTAACTTAATGAGGAGGCTGAAGATAGGACTTCCCGCCACGGCCCATTTAAAAATTTTGTGTGTGTGTTCATGCCATCTTATTTTCAGTCTCCTGAGCTTTTCAGGTTTAACCTGTGGCCCCTTTTCTGTCCACATTTGTTACATTTTAAGAATTCAGTGTATTATTTCAGGAGTTTGGTGACCTTTTCAACTCATTGTCTAATCCCACTGTAAACCAAGTAGGCAATTTCTGTATGATCATTAAGGCTGATAATCAAGATTACAAATTTTGAAAAACTGTTTACTATTCAAGATTTCTACTGAAAATAAGCAGAATGTTACTAACATTCTTTTAGTAATAATTCCATTGCAGGCAATAACAGTATCATCTAATTTACAACTTCTATAAACACAAACAGAAGCTCTGACTTCTGTGTATCTAAATTAAATCTTGAAAAATTAATTGCATGAGGCACTGGATTAGAAGTTCCGCCCCGTTGGCCCTGCCCCGGCGCCGCGCCTCACACCTGAAGTTGGACCAGGCGAAGTGCAGGGACAGCTGGAAGTTGGGGTCCGCCTCGTCCTGGAGGCCCGCCACATGGCGGACGAGCTCGCGCATGTCGCGCTCCTGCTCTCGATCCAGGCGGCTCCAGGACTGGAAGGGCCGCGCCATGTTTTTCCAACACAACGGCGCCAGAAACCCGGTTTGTACCTGCTCTCGCGAGAGTTCGCGCTCCGGAAGCGTTGCTCCTGGGAGAGGCTGCAGCCGCTCTCGCGAGAGTTCGCGCTCCGGCTGCGTTGCTCCTGGGAGAAGCCGCGGTCGCTCACGCGAGAGTTAGCGCTGCTGCCGCGTTGAGGTTCCTCGCTGATTTCTGTTGGTGGCGCCAGTGTGCGTTTCCCAGTCTTCAATGAGTAAGTACAGGGGCGTCCTCACTCAGATGGTTTTGTTAATCAGATTAGAGACAGTCTCTGGTTAACCTTGGTTGCTGGTTTAATTTACGATGTTTTGAGAGCCGCCAGGAGATTCTCATTCAGCATGTCTATTTGCCCCTGCCTTTTCAAGTACCATAACGTGTTCGTTGTCTACCCTTCTCCAAACTTAGCTGCTTCTTCTGGAGGCGATCCCTAAGGATCTCTCAGTTGCCCGCTGTCTACACAGCCCATATTACATGGTCCACACTGTAGCAAATGTCAGCAAAGCGGGTTAACCCGTCCTACACTCAAGCCGAGTGCTGTGCCTTCTGTCATGCAATTTTTTGACGCATCTTTTGGTGGGTAAACGTAACCATACCCGTTAACCACTGGTTGTCATTTTAAAGGAAAAAAAACACAAAACTTCTGGGGCAGCTGGTTAGCTCAATTGGTTAGAATGCAGTGCTCATAACACCAAGGTTCGATTCCCACATGGGCCAGAGCTGTGCCCTCGCACAACTAGACTGAAACATCTACTTGACTTGGAGCTAATGGGTCCTGGAAAAAACATAGTTTCCCAATAATCCCCAATAAAAATATTTTTTAAAAAAACTTTCAATTTACTAAAATTGTTTTTTTGCTGAAAATCGCTAAGAATTGATGGTAAAAATTTTTAAAAGGGGAAATTCCTAATGTGTCACTGAGTAAGTAAAATTCATGAACCAGGTTTAGAAGTACAAAACATCCTGTATCTTTTTAAAGGTGGATTATATCGTGGAATCATTGCTTGTTACACTGATATAAGTTCCAGGCGCACAACCTGACAACACAGCATGTGTACGCTCCATTGTGTGCTCTGCACCCAGTGTCTACCTTCCCTCCCTCACTCTGGAGTTGACCCCTTTACACATTTGGTTCTCTGGCCACCCCCTTCCCCTCCGCTCACCACCATTCTGTTGTCTGTGTCTGTGAATTTGTTTTTTGTTTGTTTAGTATCTTTGTTTCTTACTTTCTCTGGTAATGTCTTATGGGAGTGAAGTCACATGGTTCCTGTCTTCTTCAGACGGACATATTTCACTTAACTCGGAGGGCCAGTTTCACAGAATAAGTATCAGAGATTTACAGCTGGTGAGTGGCAGAACCAGAGGCTGCTGGCTGAAGGCAGCCCTGACATTCCCCGCGCTATCTTGTGAGCACCCACCTGCTGACTAAGGACTTATGGCTGGACAAGCCGCCAGGCTGAAGGTAGGAGCTTGTAGCATTAGGGCAGAGAGAATGCCAGAGCGGCCCCACTTGGATGGTGAAAGAGGTCAGCGCGTGGCAGGCCAAGGTGAACTAGTAAGCCGGCGGGTAATGGCAGAAGCCAATGCTGGCTTACTTGGCCTTGCTGCCAATCGGGCCCTGAAGAGTGAGTGTCCTGCCCCTCAGATCTGACCTGGGGTGAGGGTGACAAGGAGGTGGTGCTACAAACTTGTGGTCTGGCATTTCCGGGGTAGCTGCAGTATGCAGGAGGCCTGACAAGTCCTTTCAAGTTTAGGACAAACAAATCAAATGTTCGCTGCTGAATGAACTTCTCTGCCAGTGGCCTAGTAAACTCAGTTATTACAAACCTCCAGCCAGGGCGCCTTGAACCCACCCACTTCTTTTTCTCTCCCCTCTCCCACCCCTCTGCTGTGTCCTTCACTCACCCTGGAGCTGCTCTCCTTCTGACAGCCCCATTTCTTTTACGTTATATTCTAAGCTCCCACCACCAACATTCTCTCCCTTTGAACCCCCCTCTCCCCAACCATCCAATACCTCTTGCTCCATGACCCCTTTAACCAAACCTGTCCTGGTCACTCAAAAGTTATGAAAGAATTCACAAGGCACAAAGGAACAGAAGTTAGAAAGTTTATTTAAGAAGAGAAGTACCTGCAGAGGAGTTGTGAGGGCCAGAGTCTAGGTTAGACAGTTGCTCCAAACTTCAGGTTAGCTTTTTTTTTTTTAAGATTTTTATTGGGGAATTGGTGGGATGGGAACAGTGCTGGGGAATTAGGGAGAGGGGAACAGACAAGTTGCTGTCCTTTTGTTCTTCAGTCTA